TTCAATCAAATGCAGACCGTTTTCGTATAAAACAACCCTTTAGGGGGAATCACAAAATGCTGTAGTCCAGTAAACATTTATTTTCTATTGGATAGAAAGATTAAGTACTCAGAATATTTGAACATGCAGCACATTTTAATGCGGTCTTTCAGTATGAAACAAGGCATGGAATGAATGTGTATGTGGAATGTGGTAAATGAATGTAAAAAAACAAATGTCAGCAGTTCAGCAGCCTTAGTTAATGAAAAAGGTTGATGATTCACCCATTCAGTTCTTGTCAGTGAAGTAATGAGAATAACATGTCAGCCGTGATCATAACAAAACCAACCTCTGATTGCACCCAAACAAATTGCTTTATTTCAAATAAAATTCATAATAACAGTGAATTCATTTCCAATAAATACATGTTCAGATTTTTTGCTATTTCAGCATTTGCTCAAAGCAAAATATACTGCAAACTTGGAATATAAGGGTGGAGGAGAGAGAATCCCTTCACCTTAATAACAACAACTTGCATTTATGTAGTGCCCTTCACGTGGGGTAGCGTCCCGGAGCGCGTGAAGTTAAAGTCTCCATGTGGGTCTTGAACCCCCAAGGTTCTGATTTGAGAAACATTGATGCCAAATGATCCATTACTTAAAGCGATGAAATGTTAATTACATTGATATTCAAAAGCTATGGTGAGAGTAGTCACTTGGAGTCTAATTTAAACAAAACCACGTTGGTAACAGTAATATTTGCTGATTGGGAGGCTGTGCAGAAAAATAACATCAAACTATCCTGTGCATTCCCAATTTTCTTTTTGAAACTTGAGACCAGAAAGTGACTGCAGCTTTTGTTGGTGAGCAACGTATTTATGTATTTTCCCACTTTCCTTTCCATGCTACTCATGGGAAAACTAGCTGCAAATCCATTCAAATTAACATCTATTAACGTGTGCAAAGTAGGAAATGCTGTTGATCATAGGGCACAGGGAGGGAATGTTGACCAATATTCCTGTTCTTCACCAAACAACAATCACTGACATGAGCATTTGTGAACATGGGGTGGAGCCAGAATCCTGGCTTGGGTGTGATGTTGCACTTTAATCAAAGATCCTGCCAACACTTATCTAGAATCACATAAAGTGAGGTACAAAGGTGACTGACAACCATGGAACTGTACCACAACATGAGTTAGCAGTTTTAGAGCAGTATCGGGGGAACAGCAAAATTAATTTAAAAGCATTGGGTTCTTCCTGGAATTGGTTATTGAGTACGTTACTAAATTGATTATATGAATAATCAAGATGCTGTCTACTTTAAATAATTCATGAATTCCTCACTGGGTTTTAAAAATTATTAATGCATTGACTAAACAACCATTTATAATACTAACTAATTTCAGTAAGTAGTTTGTTTATTGACTCAAATAATTAATTAGATACTTATTTATAAATAATGATGCCTTAAAAAAAAGGTCACTCAATCCACGACTATCTGTAGGACTCTGCTGTGCATAATTGGCTACCGTGTATCGCCCACAAAATATATACAGTCAATTCACTTTACAGTATGATCTGTGAAGCGCTTTGAGGCATCTCAAAGATGTTTTATTATCTTTATGAATAGTTTTTTCGATTTAGGGTTATAAACCAGTGAGCTGTTATTTGAAATAAAATATTAATCAAACTATTATTTGTTCTGGCTTGATAAATAATAATGAGACTATATTAAATGCAAGGATATTCCTTGCATTTGATATAGTCTCATTACATCATTGAAATGACTCTGAGCACTTCATATGATTTATTGTAAAATATAATGACTATTTGTACGTGAATGTGGTGGCCAAATTACACAAAGAAATGTCCCAAACAGCCATGAAACAAATGACCAATTTCTTGCGAGAGATTCTTGGCCAGGACGCTAGAGAAACTATTTGCTGTGAACTTGTTCATCTTCAGGCTCTTGTAGAACTCTTTTACATTCTTCCAGCTTATTTATGTTTATTAATTTCTTTAGGTATTCATCCAATCTGTTACCTTATTGCATATCCACCACTTTTGTCCAATTCCTGCTCCATCTCCCTCCATCTTCTGCTGTCAATCTGTTAATCTTTCTGATTGGAAGATACAGTGGATCTGGAATACTCCAGGGTATTGCTGATGACAGACCAGACAACTTGGCTCGTTGGTAGAACCTGGAAATGGAGTTTATTCCTAGTCAGTTCCTATTAAACCCGCAAGCCGAAGCACTAATAGGTAGACTGTTCATAGTTGGGAAACTTGACAGATACTGTTCTCAATGACCTGCTATATAATTTTAGTTGGTTAAATTCCAGCGCCGTACCCTAACACATTACCAAGCCTTGGCTCTTGACAACCTGTGCCCAATACTCTCCATAATTAAGTAAACAGAGTGCATCCTTCCAATGAGAGAAAGAGAACGTATTCCATTCCAGGCGCACGAAAATTTCCATGTGTGGATGTAATATATTTGTGAAACTATCAGTCTGGTTTAGAAACTCATAACCACTGTGAGAGGTTAATGCTTGCATCAGACACTCAGCTGATGAAAAAAAAGTCTAGATGACCCCCCCCCCCCCCACCTTCAATTGTCCCTCCAATCCCATATAGCACTGCAATCAGCAGACTCAATCTCTGGTCCCTCTGCTCCCCGAAACAATCTGGTCTCTAAAATAGCAAAAGTGAATCTGTAACTCTATCCCCCTATATCTGAACATTCTGGTCCAACTCCAATTGCAGCAGAAAAATAAAAGGTCATTTTGCCAATGAAAACTCTCAACCACCATCGATTTAGAAAACAAATGGTTGTGCCACGTTATTTTGCAGAGATACAGAACTGAGGTCGGAAAAAGCCACATTACTCCATTGTATAGCAACCCGCAATTTTGAATATGGCCGAGTTTTTTTGAGCAACACTGGTTTAGAAATAGAGAAATCTCATTTTTATAGGGCCTTATTGAAACATTTCAAAGTGCTTTAGAGTGATTAACTTTTGTGCAGTTAACCCTTTTTTAAGGCAGATTTAAAGCACATGGTAACAGTTTGTTCAACTGAAGGATTGTTGGCTGAAAAAATTATTTCTTTATTCAGATGCTATTACGGGATCTTCAAAATTCATCTGAAGAGTAGCTTGGATTTATATTTAACATCTCGCCAGAAAGATGACGCCTTCAACAATGCACCGCCCCCCCCGACCCCCCTCACTATGATTCTCCATCTAAGAATCGTTGTGATTTTTGTATGTGTTCATTGGAAGATTTAAAAAGGCCATTATTTGTGTCAATTCTTACTTGGGTTACTACTGTAAATCTATATGTTTTGCAAGTGCAATGATTATGATTATAAATTTAGAACTGAATTACAGAACATGGTTGAAAAGCAAACTGCCACTCTTTAAAATATCAAGTGATTGCACAAAAGAATAATCTTTTTAAAAAATCTTATTTGTATAAATTTGCTTCAACGGTGATTATTGATTACATGATCAAAGGACCAAATCAAAGGACTTACGTAACCAGAGCAAGCAAGAAAATCAGACTAACACCCGGAGAGGCTTAAAGATTGACTCACAGTGCTTCAACAATTTGTCCTTTGGGCTGGCATTAACATCTTTCACACAAGTAGGCTTGGTAACTACTCTGTGCCAAATTTCCTAATGATGCTACCAGAGATTTATTTTTAGCTTGGCCTTCCTGGTGTGATGTTCTTGAAATATTAGCTTTCAAGAGGGAATTGCATAGATAACTGGAGAGGAAATAACTTCACTGGTACGGGTAAATGGAACTAAATGGATTGCTCTTTCAAAGAACTCGCACAGACACACGATGGGCTATAACAGACTGTGTTATAAATTTCCAAGGTTCTATGGATTTGTTGTCATCCTTTGAGAGGGGAGGCAGGAAAGTGGGAGAAAGGTGCTGATCCCTAAAGAAAATCATGCTCTGTTCCTGATGATATTTCCCTACCCTGCTGGATCTTATTTTTGATATGAGGCAGTTCTCTTCTTCCAGTCTCAGGCAGCAGGCGGAATTAGCTTTCCTCACCAAGGAACATTATTCAACCACACAAGCAAAACTAGTTCTCTTTAAAAGTATTGTTTCATTCCCTCGGGCCATACAAGTTTTCTTGGAAGTTTTGCAAAGTTTACTCGTTTTTACTTTTGAGGAAAAGTCAGAAAACAATTTGGGCTTTCTGCTGACCATTCTCAAATCTCATGTTATTTCTGACAGCTTGGCAATGTTTATGTCTTAGTTCTTTAAAGTGCTTCCCAACAACCAACTCCTATATCAGCTGAGCTGATTGGATTCCATTGTCGCACTGTTTCTCTATCTCTGAAACCTGTTCCAGGCTCACTTTAAAAGCTCATTGTCGTCAAGTTAATCACAGAATCTCGCCCATAAAATTATCAAGCATAAGCCCGAAGCAGACTACCAGGCTACATTATGAGCTCAGTGCCTGGTTTGAGGCTTGAACCTGTAACCTAACTTTTCGTAGTGCAGCATAATAATGGTAATTAGAGAGATAAGTGCCCATGTGAAAAATGGTAGCAGACTTTTTTTCATTCAAATTGGTGTTGTATGTTAAGAACAGCAGTCTTGTTGGGAATGGTCACTTGAACAAATATTTACATTAGAATGTTTTAAACTATGACAGAATATATACTATATTAGGTATATTCCAGATTTGTCATTGATACACGTATGGATGGTATCTAAATAACCCAGAAATCCGAGCACATATTGAGTTCAATAACTTCAAGAAGTAAAGATTTCATAAGAAAAGTACGTGATCGTTTCATAACTCTAAACATGAGAAAACCCTAAGTTTACAAAGGGTTAAACATAAATGCAGTACATGGTCATGTGACCTGAATATTTAGCTCTGATCCTCCCTATTTTCCCCTTTAAGCTTGTCCTTTTTCAAATACTAGCATTAGAACAGCACAGAGATTATTTAGTCATTTTTAGGATGAGTTTTAATCACCTTGACCAAAGGAAAAGCACACATCTGCTTGAATTGACTGACTTTCTACTGTCTTTTTCAATGAAGTCATGACTTCTTCCCCTCTGCCTTTACCTATTCATCCTCGATCTGGAAGCAGCAGCCCTGATGAAAGTAAGATTATCCCCTTCCGCAAACGCACAGCTAGGCAAGTACGGTCTTCCAGGTATGCTGCATTTAGCTAATATAAACCATTGAAGCAACCTTCATTTTGCGTGTTTTGTGATTCTGAACATTTCAGTTTTCTTTATTTCTATGAAACATAAATAATTGGAGGAATACAAAATGTTTTTTNATCTCTTTGCTGTAGTCGACCAATGCTACGAGTGAAAATGAAACTGGATATCCCTGAGAATATTGATTTTTTTTGCCAAAATAATGCAATACAGTATTCTTTATTAGACTAATTTACATTTTGGAATAATTTACAGGCAGTCAACCTATTTGTTTTAGAGAGATGGACATCAGAAATCAGATTATGATTTGGTTTTGAATTTGTGCTGGAAATTGTTGCCTATAGGAAGCATATTTTGCTGGATTAAGAACAAAACTTTGTAATATTTACTAAACTAAACCATGGTTACTGATCTAAAAAACTGAAATCAAGCTGTTTTGCGGTCTTTCAGCAATAAATTTGATCTTAGGAGAAAATGTTTACATCGACTACAATGATGATAGTGACCCGCCAAATGTTTATTCCATTCACTGCTGTAAATCTGTTTTTACGTTTGAAGAAATTACAGTATTTTGTTCGAATAACAAATCATTGCTTTTTACCATCAAATGTTCAATTTATCAGAATAAAGTATTATGGTACAATAAAGTTGCAAAATTCCTAATAATTTCTTTTTTTTAACTGTCTGACTTTGCTTCTAGAATATGCTTTTTACCCGTCAGGAGTATTACAGTATTTCAGCATGTTTTGCTGTTGAATGCTGGTATGTGTTTTTTGCTTGAGTGCAGTAGGGCTCTGTTCCAGCGTTGCAGTGCAGCACTGTCATCTGGAAAAGAATCAGTAAGTCCATTTGTGCTGACTCCTCTCAGAAGAAAGCATCAGGCGTATTTTGCAGTAACTATCATTAATTCTATTTGCTAGTTGGATAGATAGGGTGGGTCATGATAGTGTTTATTTCTGTAACTTTGTTTATTGCGATTTATCGTCATTGTAAATGTTACAAAATCCCTATTTTCCATTTTTTTTTGCCTTCCCAGTTAGATCTTTATTATTAAATCTTTAATTTAGTTATGGATATATATGAATCAGTGAAAATTGTTACAAATAAGATGCTATTCCTTATGAATCGTTATAAGTAATTTATTTCAGGATGCACCAGAATAAGTGTAAATAATATGGCCTTTAAGATGTTCTGCTGAGTTTGTTAAAATGCTATGTTTCTACACTGCTTTAAATGTATGAACAATAATATTGTATAAGATTTATGAAGGAAAACTAGCCATGTTTTTGCTCTTTCTGTGTGACAACATTTTGCAGCATTACTTTCTATTCATTCCAGTATTTCCATTAATAAGTGACACTACTATTGTTAGTGAAGAACAGCAGTGCTATTATTAATGTAGATCTAGAAAGTTCCAATTTAACATATGGTCTAGATTTATTCAGGATGGGGACACTTCTGCAGGATCACCAGCTAGGAATGTAATATAGTAGTTAATGTACTAGGTTTTGCAATTGCTAGACTCGGACCCTTATCTGTTTGCATGGTGTTTTTGATGGAATTTTAAAGTACATGATATTGAGAGAAAGAACTTTCATTTTTACAAGCATCTTACCAGTTTGAAACAGCTGAGTGCTTCATAACTAGTTACTCTCTAATGTAGTAGTTATTTTTGTAGGCTAAAGAGATAGCGATTTACACCAGCAAGGTCTCACAAAACATCAGTGAGGTAGATGATCACGTAATCTGGAGGATTGTTAACTAGGCAGCATGAGGGTCTCACCTGTTATATGAACCTGGGGTTTGAACCCATGTCCCAACGTGGGCTTTGAACTCACACCTTATAACTCAGAGGCAAGAATGCCACCTCCTGAGCTAACCAATGCACAGAATGGGAATAGTAATAATATTCCTTGCATTTGATATAGCGCCTTATCAAAATTCAAAGGGAGAAATACAGCATCAGACAAGTAGGAAAGAGTGATATTCAAGGATGATGAAAATGCCCTCTGAAGGTATTTATGATCTTTAAGACCGAATGCTGAAATTATACCCTAAGAACAAAAGAAACTTTGTAAAAGAAACATCTCATGTACGATGGAAGTTGGTTTTGCTGGACGTATTGAGGCCAGACATTTTGTCTGACTTAAAAGATGTCCGAGGTTAGCCGAAATACCATTCCTGCCAAGCAGAGGAGGAGCTTCCTCCCTCCCATTGCTGTTCCAATTAATAATGATAATAATAATCCTTGAATTTGATATAGTGCTTTTCACGTCTTCTCGATGTCTCAAAGCGCTTCACAGAATATACTATAAAGTGAATTGACTGCATTTTTGTGGGCGAAATGCGGCAACCAATTGTGCACAGCAGTGTCTCACAAACAGTCGTGGATTGAAGTGACCAATTATTATTGGGTTTCTTTTCTTGAGGGATTATTATCAGGCGTGATAATATGCAGAGTAGGGTCTAGGTTGACTTGATTCAAGACATCAAGAAAACTTATTCTATCATAATCCTCAACCTAACAATTGGACGGGAAGGGGATCAATGGGAGCGGCGCTGGGGTGATTGACAGCCTGTAGCCGCTTGTAAATGTTTGGGGTCCAGCCATTCACAAGCTGCTCAGCTGTCAATCAATCATGATTTCCCGCCCTTATTCTTCCCTGTTCCTCCGCCCCTCACTGATTGACAGCCTAACTCCAGCTGCTTGTGAATGGCTGGAGTCCGCTGTCAATCACAATCTGCCTCCTTCCATCTCCATCCGGGAGTCCCTCATGGCTGAAAGTCTGATAAATTTGGATGAGGAAGGAACATAAGCCACAATACATGTTTAATAAAGATATAGTGTCGCCATTTTGACTGTTCTGTATCTTTTTAAAAAATGAGATACAAAATACGCTTTTACACTAGTGACAATAATTAACGTGAAAACTATTCTGGAGGTGTCAGTAACTTTCAAGAATGGAACCATAAAAAAAGGAATGAGAAAATCCATTCAACAACAACTTGGAGACCTTCACGCAGAGTAGGGTCTCGGTTGACTTGATGATTCAAGACATCGAGAAAACTTATTCTATCATAATCCTCAACCTAACTTGGAGGAATGTACTGTCATGGTATTCCCTGCCCCTCGAAGATAAAGAAAAATTATAAGTTTTCAACCATAATTAAACATCTTTGAATAAATTATTCATTTTGAAATTGTGGGTTCCATCACTGTCAGAAGAATGTGAAAATACTGTAAGATCCTCTCACCCATTTTTAAATGCCTTCAATCCCTCACACCTCCCTACCTATCTGACCTACTTACCCCCCACTCCACCACTCACTGCCTCTGCTCGGCTGGCTCCGGCCTCCTGCCGTGCCTTCAGCCACTACTCCCTGAAATTCTGGAACTCTCTTCCTCAGTCCCACTGCTTTACCCCTCCCTCCCCACTTCCAAATCCCACCTGAAGACCTTCCTTTTTGATCATGCTTACAGTCACCTCCATCTCCTGCTGGCTCGGGGTGAGACTAAGTCACTGTCAAGCGCTCCAGGACGCTCCCCCACGTGAGGTGCACTATATAAATGCTAAGTTGTTGTTGTAAGTGTCCTTTGATCTCAATAATTGAGGCATTCACCAAGAAAATTAAACTCTAGTACTAGCTTTCTGGAATCAGTACCGGAAATCTTCATAGGCCCAGTATTAATTCCAGTCCAAGAAGCCTGTGAAATAATATAGGTTAGACCACCCTTTCCCAAAAGTCTTGATAAATGTGAAAATATATTTGAAAAGTTAATCTAATTCTGTAATCCTTCCAACAATCTTAAGCACACTAACGAGAATAATTTTACAGGACCATTGAGGTGCTGCAATGGTGCAAGATTTTTAATTGAATTACTGGATTTATTGCAGATACAGTCTGCACTTCTTCCCACACCTGAGAGGACTCTATCCAAGTCACTTCCCATTTTTGTTCAGATTGACAGCATTAACCATAATGAAGTATAACTAAAGCTTGGTAAAGCTCAGAAACTGGTTTTATGGGCATATAACTCGTAACCTGGATGTTTTATATTGAAGTTGAAGGAATACTGCAATGCAGTAAAGTGCTTGCAAATATAAAATAAATTGATGTGGTCTGAGGTGAGGGAAACTATAAATTATTCCACGGTGGTGAGCGTAAAATATCTTGTTAATATGTCCATTGGGATTACATAAGTGAGCAGGTATCCATAAATGGTAGTAAAAAGTTGATATGCCACCTCATAATAAATATTGGAATAGTTCAACAGTCTGTACAGTATTTACTGAAGGGTTTGGTTTAAAACTAGTTATTATAAAACAATTTCCCCTATTTTCTGTTTTCTTTGCTTTTATATCATGATTGTGAGTAGTATTGTAAGTGGCACGGCCAAGCCAGGCGGGTACTGTATGCATAGACACAGACGTGGTTCACACATCGAATCTTTAATCGGATACCTCAATCGTCCTTCATTCTCTGCTGCAGGCCCAACCTGGCCATGTGCCCTACAATCTGATGTAGTACTGTCCGGGTGAGCGGGAGCTCAGGTTTTATACAACGCAGGCTCTGCCCTCTTCTCAGACACAGTTCAAGGTCCCCATATTAGCAAGCTCCTGCATTACTGGTTCACCATTCTGATACAAACAACAACAAACAAACAAAAATTACATTTGTATAGCGCCTTTCACATCGGGAGGACGTCCCAAGGCACTGAACAATCAGTGTTTCAGACCCGAGCTGGGGATCGGGATCGGGGAGGGTGGAGGGCAAGGTACAGTACAGTATTATCAAAGTCAACAACTCTTGGAGCATTTGCTTGAACATTATTGTCCAGACATTTCAAGGTTATTTTTAAAACAATCATGTGGTATTCTATACTTCAAATATTAACACCTCCGTTTCTTCAGTTTCACAACTTCCGTGAACTGGTTCTCTTTCATTTTTGTTTGGAATGGTTCTCAGCGTGACGGGCTTTGAGACATCCTCTCTATGTGAAAAGCGCTATATAAATTGAAATTATATTGAAGAACTTCACAGAGGATTTAAAAGAAAATAATTGAGAAAATAGGAAAAAATACTTTTGATTGATCTCAAACTATCTTTCTCCTCACCATATTTCTGAATTACTTCTCTCCCTAAAAACTTGTCTCCCTCCCACCTCTCCGCCTTCCCTCACCCCTACACCACCCCTCTCCCATACTCCGGCCCCGACACCTGACTGTTCAGCGCTTTGGGACGTCCTCCCGACGTGAAAGGTGCTCTATAAATGTAATTTTGTTGTTGTTGTCATCACAAGCATCAGTGTTCCTCTGTAACATGGCAGCATTAAAAGTAAGAGCAATCAATGCATTTTTAACTTTGCCATTACTTTAGCTTTCAGTTTGTAATTTATGCAGTCAAGGCACATTTTGAAAGCTGTAATTTGTACACTTTGTTTTGTTGGGATTAGAACAAATGAAACTCGTGCTTACGTTTCCAAAGGACTTCACTTTCTTTGTGAGTGCCAAACCACATTTAGTAGAGTAACATGTTACTGTTGATATTTTGTTTAATTGAAATGTTGATTGAAATAATCTGATCTCTCTTCAGCTGTGGCATGGCAGTGAATGTGTATTCCACCTCTGTGACGAGTGAAAATCTTAGTCGCCATGATATGTTGGCATGGGTCAACGATTCAATGCAGCTCAGCTGCGTCAAGATTGAACAGCTATGCTCAGGTAAGGAGGTGATTAATATATTTTTAAACAAAAGTGTTAACTCCATTGTTAAGCATTGATACAGGTAAACTTGCATAATTCTTCTTGTTATAAATTGTATAATATAAGAACATAAGAATTAGGAGCAGGAGTAGGCCATTCGGCCCTTCGTGCCTGCCCCGCCATTCAATAAGATCATGGCTGATCTTCTCACCTAACTCTGATTACCTGCCCTATCCCCATGACCCCTAATCCCTCTATTTGTCAAGAACCTATCGGTCTTAGCCTTGAAAATGTTCAAGGACTGAGCATCTACAGCCTTCTGGGGTAGTGAATTCCATAAATTCACTACCCTCTGAGTGAAGAAATATTTCCTCAACTCTATAATCACTTAAATCATCCGTGTACCAGAGTCCCATTCATTTTGTTACCAAAAATACTTAGATTTCTTTGCACTGGTCGTATTTTCAAGTTGGATAAATGGCTAAAATATAACTGTTTCTTGGTTCCAAATAATCCCAAAACCTATGCAAATCATATGCTGACTCATATTGCCGCTACCGCACTTACCGGTTTGATGAAGTACTGCATGCGCATGCGGTGCATTTGAAACAAGTACAGGGAATAAGGTCTCGACCCGTCATGTCACTAAAGACAAATTTAACTTAGTGTAAGATGTATTAAGTCAGCCAATACAACTTTGTAGAAGTTGTATTAAATGTTGTGATCCTGACTAATATAATATTTACAAGTTTTCCTGTAATCTAAATGGTTTACGATTTGTGTTTAGAAATAAAATATTATAATTAACTCTTAAAGCACTGGTTAATGTTTTTGTTTGCTAAATATACAGTTTGTATATATAGTTTGTTTATTTACCCTGGTAAGATCTTGAATTATTGCAAAGTACTGTTTTGGTTCAGTTAGTGATTTTACTAACAATATCGGTCAGTGGAATTAGAAACCAAGTCAAGAGAGTAAATTACTCTGGAGTGTAAAATACAAAATTAAATTGCCCACAAACCAACATTAAATAACACATGTGAAGTTCAACAGGGAGTTCCAATGTGGATAAACAGACACACGGATAATAAGCATGTGGATTTGCAGTGTTCTACTGTAACACAACATTGCACTGCATTGAAGAGCCAATATTGGAATATCAGCCACACAAGGGAAAATCTTGGACATGTAAGGATTAAAGAATCAATTTCCTCACTGTTTTTTATCAGAATGAACTCACGGAAGAAGCTTTTCTGTTTGCCAGATCTGAAGCATGCAGCCTTTTCACCCGGGGCGAGTGGGAAACACCCGACTTGTCAATATCAAATGATTTTTTTGGGCGGGGGGGGGGGGGTCATCTGGGTGTCTGACACATGCAGAAACCCTTCACTATGCTTAAGACTTTCCAAACCAAGCTGCAATTTCCATGCATCCCATCTGCACATGGAAATCTCAGAGGTAGATTGTTGGAATGGAATGCACAACAATCAGCGCAGGTTGGCAGAAGGCAAAGTATTAAGTGTCCAAAGTGTGAATGGGAGGGGGGGAGGAACTGCTGAAATTTTTAAGCCAGTGCAACTTAAGAGACACTGGTTTAAAAATAAACTTCTGATTCTCCAGATGGGGCCATGGCTTATTGGGATATTGGGAGCTGTGTGGAAAACTCCTATTCGAATGACATGGCTACTCTCCAAGTTTCAATAATGAGCCAGGTAGGCTGAATCAGCAACTCCGCACTGAACAACTTCAGTCTAACCAGCTTCAGGTATTGGATCACCAGATTACCGAATCTGGCACAGAGTTGCCACATTTCCATTCTCCCTTTGCCAAGTGTGTCACCAAAGAGCTATATTTACCCGACTTATTGTTTTGCTTAAACTGCCATTGTAAGGCGAGCACCAATTCTGAAGCTGTAATTTAGGTCCTAAAACTAATAATTTTAGTTAAAACCTATGAATAATGCTGTAAGGAAATAAGACAGTGAGAAGAAAAATAATGCACAATGGGAAACAGAATGCTCACATACAATGCAAAAGCATCCATATGTCTGAGGTCGTTGACCACAACCTACGGTTACTTCCGTCCTCTCCTTTGCTCGGCATCCAACCCTGCAACTGTACTGCGCTCCAAGCTGCTAACCTGTTATGTAGAGTGACAAGGATAGTGGAGTCCCTTATTAATGTTTTGCATGGCAAGCAGGCGGATTATTGAAGGTATGATGACTGAAGTGATAGTGACGAGTTAAGCTAAATTCAAATTATCCAGAGTTTGCTGTATATAAAAGTACAAATTGTGTAACTGTGAAGATGCACCACTTTTACAGCAACTTCTGTATTTGAATTCAAAAACATTGGGGGAAGAAACATCACAAAAGAATTGTGGACCAAGCTCCCAAAGCATGAAAGGCTGCAGAACATGGCAAAAGAGGGGACAAACCACAGAGCCATGTGCTGCTACTTTGGATTTTATCACTTTAGATGGCAAATTAATGTGGTATGTTAACTATGAACAAGCTCAAAACAATATTAACCTCAGCGCTGCAATTTTGTCAGAAATCCCCAGAACGGACTAGCAGTAATGAGTTTAAATGATTAGTTTAAATTGAAGGAGTAAACAAGGTACGTTGTATAACACCTTTAGGGGACTATTGGGTAATTTCAACACAATGTTCTTAACTCTCAATGCTCATTTATGCCGTTTTACCAAATGCTGCTAATTTAATACTAAGGTGAGATTACTCTGGACCATAGTCTGAACCAAAATAGTATTAGAAAATATCTTTAGATCACTGTTTGTGCTGTTGCATTTTTTATATAGGTGATGACCTTGGAGATTTGTTAAAGCAATTCTGAAGTATTCAGTGCATGATGTTGCATAATGTTTTAAAAATACATTGAAATATATCTTAAAAGTAGTGTGTAACTCTAAAAGTTCTGTTAGGAACTAAAAATCGAGCAAAATACATTTATTGCTGTGTCAGATTTTGAATCTGTGTCATGTGTGTGCCGAATATACAATATAAGGTTTTTACTATTGAATATCTGCAATATTTGCACTAAATATTTAGGAATCTATTATCATAATGTAAATAGAAAAAGTATCAAATTAAATAAATTAAATTTAATAAAAAGAGTTTACAGTGCATTTGCTGTAAACATAACCTGCATTTTTTTAATACCTCCAGCAAAATATCAGCGATACATAATCTGATTTTTTTTCTGCAAACATTAGCTGCCAAATTCATGTGTATATTAGCTTATGGACAAGCTGTTTCTTGTCCAGAAAACACATTTTCTGCAATGGAAACATTGCAATTCTGTCGCAAATGCCTGAAACAGACATGCCAAGTCCAATACTTTAATCCAATACGTCATTGACAAATACATCAAATAGAGGATGTGAATTTGCATCTTTCAAGAGAGAGGGACCAGTGAATTTCCCATCAATCCTTACATTGATCTTCAAGCTGGAATTTACATCAAAGATATTAGCCACGTAGGCCCATAGCTTAGAACTTCTTCATGAGGCATTAAGTTTGAAAGCCTTATGGAAATTGCCAAACACAATGTAAATGGGTTTCCTGAGATCCTTATAAGGTTCTGCGATCTTGTATAAGCTACAACGTGCCCCACACTGCTCACAATAAAGGAAGGTGTATGGAGGGAGCTGAAAAGTTGGATTGCTTTTTTCAGAAAAAAGATAGTATTGGCACAGACACTATTGGCTAATGGCCTCTTTCTGGCCAGAACACAAATATGTTTCTTTGTAAGAGTAGTCTTACATAGAATCCTGAGAGCAGTTTGCCCATCTGTTTAGACAAGTGATCTGTGGTATGGATATTATCTAGGAGATTAAAAAAGATTGAAAGAGGCAAGATGGGATGCATTTATTTTGATTTCCTGATTTATAATTTTCAAAATATTTTGACATATTTGGTGCAACACAAGTTCTAAAATCTATTTACAGTTAACAACCCATTGCAAGTTTTATATACTGACTATAATTTGCTTAAAAAAAGGATTATCATGTAATAAACTTGAATCTTTCTATATAAACATCATCACATATCAACTACATGGAACACACTGGCTATTGTTGTTCCCAACGGATCAAAAAATACACAACTTTAAAAGTATAAATCTTTATTGGAATCACATTGTGGCTATCTGGAGGGTGGTGTCAAGGCCTAAAATCATGTGATTGTTAAGGTAGTGGTCTAAACAGCTATAGTTTTGTTCTTATGATCAAAAAATGTCCACCTGGCCTTTACAATAATATTACTGTCTTGGCATTATTCCTGAACATCCATTATTCTTCAGTCATATTTTAACAAATGTATTATCAAAATCACAAAATTCCTTCCCACACTCTATAATTCTATTTCGATAGCATGTTCAATTGGTTCAGGTTTCACTGAAATTTGGATTGTTTTCTCAACAGGAATTTCATACTGTCAGTTTATGGATATGCTTTTTCCGGGCTGCATAGTTCTGAAGAAAGTCAAATTCCAAGCAAAGCTGGAGCATGAATATATCCATAATTTTAAAGTCCTACAGGCAGCCTTCAAGAAAATGAATGTTGATAAAGTATGTACTCTTCTTGAAAAAAAAACTGTTATGTTTTTATAAAAGAGAACATTTGGGTTACTACTTGCTCTGTTTTATTTTCCGATTTTATTCACTGAAAATAGGGAGAAAAATTCCAGATCCATAACGTTTCTTTTGGAGAACTATATCAGCCTTTGGACACACTGTATATGGAGAAGTAATTGTAGAACTGTATATTCTGACAATTCCAGTATCTTCATTTTCAGCTCCAATCTCAAGAGGAATAGATTGTCAGTGAATTAGTGAAGGTGCACACCACATAAAACACATTTTTAAATTACTTTTGGATCTAAATAATTTAGTGAAATTGGATATCCTGAGATTCTACAGCATTTGGTTAATCAGTAACACAGTTACTAAAAATACAGCAAACTTCCATTCCTGTAGCTCAGTGGTTAGAGCATTCGCCTTGCAAGCGAAAGACCTGGGTTCGATTCCTGGCAGGGCGAAACCTTGGGCAAGTTTCCTTATCCCACATGCCTGATAATAATCCCTCAAGAAAAAAAATAATAGTAATTTGGTCAATCCACGACTGTTTGTGGGACACTGCTGTGCACAATTGGCTGCCGTGTTTCGCCCACAAGTATACAGTCAATTCACTTTTCAGTATATTCTGTAAAGCGCTTTGAGACATGTAGAGGACGTGAAAAGCGCTATTTCAAATGCAAGGATTATTATTATTCATCTTTCATTCACCCTCATGGAGATCAATCAGATCTATCATCTAGCAGTATACCACCATCATTCCTTTAAACGTTTTCTTTGCAAGGGTTGTATGATCTCACTACAGTCATGTACGTCCAGACTCAACGTGCTTCAGAACATCAAAATTTTCAATTAGGACACTATAGGACGCTTTTTTGCAAATCCAATTTTCTTAATATTTGCTTGTAATTAAATTTGACATCTAAAATCATCATAGTTGCTCACCTCTGTTCCATTTCAACGGCTTTTGCATGATTCTAAGGTAAAATGACTATAACTGCACATATTACTCTAGGTCTGTCTTACAGGTAATCTTGTTTCAATGTAGATCAAATAACCCTGAAATGCACCGCAGTACTTGATTAGTATATATTCACTAGGATTTAGATTCAGAGCAGTATTGTCATGCCTAATTTATTTCTGCAATTGTTGCACATAAACCACCTGAGTTAAAAGGACATAGCCACCAATTGGCAGGAGAACATAACTATATGGATCAGATGCCATTCAATTGCTCACTCCGACTGAGAGGGGCCGTACTTTAAACTCTCCTTCAAACAGGGCACTGAACAAAGCCACTTTCCTCCATCTCTTACAACATTACTACCTCACCCTCAACATAGCCGAAACCCTCATGCAGCCTTTGTCCAATCAGATTCGACTTTTCCAATGACCTGCCTCCCCAGTTCCACCCTACATAAGTTCCAAAACAACCATCAAATTGCATTTATATCATCCCTTTCATGTCGTGAGCCATCCCAAGGTGCCCCCAAAACATCAAGAACTCTGCAGCCTACATCCTCACCCATATTAGACTCTGCAGACCCATTAGCCCCCTCATCGTCTGATCCACTGGCTTCCTATCCCCCAGTGGAATGACTTATTGTCCTCATCCTCACCTTACCGTCTTACTCACCTACCTCAGATCTCCTGTGACCCTACTTCCACAGCCACTCCCTTAGTTTCATCAAGTTTGGCATGTTTGATGCCACCCCGCCTCCCGCCCACCTCTTACCATCATCAGCTTTCAGTTACTTTCCTCTCTCCCTCACCCCACCCCGGGTACCTGCCCCCTCTCTCTGCTTTCGGAGCCAGTCTAAAAGCTCATCCCTTTGACTGTATTTTGGGCCACCTTCTCTTTCCCTCCCCCACCCATTTCCTTCCCAGCTCGGGCTTCCATTCAGTCTTTGTAAAGCGATTTGAGACATTTTACATTTCAATGTAAAATGCGCAATGCAAATTATTATTGTTTTGACTCAACTTAGAAATACTGAGGAATGGTCACAATTTAATATGAATTATTTGAACTATTTCTGGTGGATTTATATTTAGTACAGTTGTCAACAGAATCATCATAAATATAACTAAAATTATAATTATGTGGTGTTTACTTGAGTTCAACTTATTGAATAATACAGTATTAGTTGGGTTGAACTCATTATGTTAGTGTAATTAAATATCCCAAACAGTATCTCCTTTGGAGAATGCAATGTATGTCACACTAATCTGCAATAAATTTGTTCCAAGCAATGTCTGATTGGTGTTGTTCTTGTGTGTTGGAATGACATACATGGTGTTCTCTGGAAGAGATGTACTTTCCTTCCTCATGTGATTTTTCCTGAGAGAAGCGCATTTACAGTGCCATTTTCCCAATGATATGCTTTTAGTATTGCATTAGGTAATGGCATTAGTATGAAAATATACAAAAGCTTTGATCAGATGAACTGATGCATCCAACAGTTTTGTGCAATGGTTACCAACAAGCTAGGTTCCCGGTTGAATCTGTGGCCTGTGCTGAGTGAGTTTATCTAATATAGTCCAACTCACCATCCCTCATTGTAGAGTGGGGGCAACCAGGTTTCCTTTCCCTTGATATCCTTTTGATTCTTGCTGGAAGTACAAATGTGTAGATGTTGGGTTTCAAGGAATCATTTTTGGCTGTAATTGGGCCACAGCACTTTGAATCCTAGCCCTCTCTTAAAAGACTCTGAAATCACAAAGTGCCATCATTATGAAATCTTCTGTTGCTAAATGTGCATACTGTTGGCATAGCAAAATGTGTGGAACTGCATTCATTACTGCCTGCCAGTCAATCTTTTCAATCAGTTTTTTTCTATCATCAATACAGTTTTTAATTCCAGGCAACTAATATAAATAATTCTAAAAGTATTAATCTTCTTTAAAAGCCTCAAAAGGAATGTCTTTTAAAATCTAGTTTACGTTCATCAGATGTCTCTCACCTACTAATTCGGTTGGCTTATGAAGAAATTTCAGACATTTATGAGGCATGACATATTGCTTTTAAACCCATGCTAACTGCTCATGTATCTTGTTGTGAAGAAGAGTATTTTTCAGATCCTTTGGAATTCTTTGAGTGATCTGCGAACTGTTTTGCTCACTGCAAGGTTAGACTAACAGGTCTATGATTCTTGGGTTCATATCTCATATTGTTTAGAATTTGACATATGCTTTCTTCTAGTTCTCTGACTATTTTCGTTAAATGAAATTCACCTCTAGTTATCCAACTTTTTGTAATAAAAGTTTACAATAATGGAAGAGAGTAAGACATTTTGTTTACAATAGTAAACTTTGATTTATTCTTTTGCTGGAGTAACAGAACAGACAAATGAAACTTGATGCTTTACAAGCAACAGGAAGGACAAATTAAATGATGGGGTGCTGCAATGTATTGTGCTAAGCAGGCATTACACAAGTTGTAGGACCAATTGCTTTGATCTGCAACAAGAGATATATAGGGGATCATTTGAAGAATGAGGATTAAAACACATTACATGAAAAAAATCACCTTTTTCTTATTTCAGATTATTCCAGTAGAGAGATTAGTGAAAGGAAAGTTCCAAGACAACTTTGAATTTGTTCAGTGGTTTAAGAAATTCTTTGATGCAAACTATGATGGAAAGGAATACGACCCAGTTTTGGCCAGACAAGGACAAGATATAATTCCACAAACCTTCGGAGGTGAACAAATATACAGCAAATCGAAGAAACCGATTGGCACTGCAGGTAAATCTCTTCTTACCTGTTGGAGGTTGAGGATTTTGTTCTCATCTTATTTTCTCAACTGATGGCTCAATTGGTTCTCTTATTTTCCAAGTTTATTCACAAAGGATATATTGATTTATTTTTCCTGTTAACAGATGGTTGCAAATGCTTATGAAAGTTCTTTCAGTGACTTCTGTAGTTGATGTTGCTCAATATGCCAGTCATTTGCTGTCCAGTGAAAATTTTTATCGCATAATCACTTTACCTAACAAAAAAAATCAGCTTCATTAGAACCACAGATTAATGCATGATTAGTTAAAAATAGGATGCACCTCAAACAAGTGACCAAAGGAGTGGATTTATTGAGCTTTTGTGTCAAAATTTGCTCACTTGATGATGATAATAATATCAGGAACAGATTTCTTCTCATAGATGGATGATGCTGCAGTTGTTATTTATGCACATATGATTTACAAAATCTATTTAAGTGAACTTCAATTTCACCTTGTGACCCAACTAACTAATGATGAAAATCATTCATTTTTCTCATAACAATTTTGTACAGCATCTATTTAATTAGGAAGCCAAAATGATTATAGATCTTGGTTATACACCATGTATATACCATTATGCATTTACTGATTTCAGTGGTTTTCTTAACTGATTTAACCTGAAGTAGTCTCCTGAAAATGGGTTTTCTGTGAAGTATATTATGCATTCAGCCTCATTCCTCCTACATTACTCCCATTTCTGTTAATTGGTCCTTTTTTTCAGCATTATCAGTCTGTAAGAAACCAAACAAAAAAAAATGAAATTGTTTAATATTTTTACTGTCAATTCTGTTTTAAGTGCCTCAGAGAACATCTCCAACAACACCTAAGGTCGCACCCTCACGAACACCACATGTACCACTCTCCACGGGTATGAGGAAAACCCCGCACGTAGCCAGAAACGGAGCCAGTGATGCAGATGCCCAAATAATAGAGCTCAATCAGCAGGTAGGCCTGGGGAGCTACACAGGAGTATAGTGTTTTCAATACAACCTTTCAATACAACCAAACAATATTCCACTAAAGGTTACATGAACAGTCAGGAACATTAATATTTAGTTCCTCCTATCAGGTGCCTGTAACAATGCTGACTTAGAGCGGGTCGGTACAACCTTTTAGATGCCCGACACCAGATTTGAGAAATGTCCGCCGGACGCATAAGCAATATTTGTGTGGTTCCCTTCCAGAAACGACCTGTACAAATTATATAGCAATCCTATGTTTTAAATTGTGTAACTATTATTTAATTTAACTATATTTTAGTTACAATGTAAACTTTAAATAGGCAATGTAAAAATTCTACACATTTTAAAACCATAATACAGCCAGTGACGAGGTATCTGTCTCTGTGTATATCGCTGTATCTGTGTGTGTGTGTGAGTCTGAGTGGGTACCTCTCTCTCTCTGTATCTCTCTCTCTCTCTTTGTGTCTCTGTATTTCTCTCTCTGTCTCTGTGTCTCTCTGTCTGTGTGAGTCTCTGGCCGGTCTACAGTATCCCAGGGCACTGCTGATTGGCTCAGTGGCAAGACCTGAAAGGGCAGTCCGGTCACCTGGGGCAGGGAGTCATCCCACTCAGCTACTGTTAACCCTGCAAACCAAAGCCCTAAAGGGTAGGGTGGTCCTAACTGGACAAGCAGCGGGAAAGCTCACCGAACAGCAATATCAATGGCAAGCTATGCAGTTTTAGCTGGTTAGACTTCAGCAGTACCCCAACTCACACTCTGGGGTCCCCAAGCCTTGGCTCTTGCCAACCTGTGCCTAATACTTTCCGGAATTAGGTAAGCAGGATGCATCCGTCCAGGGAGAGTGCGCATTACATTCTAACGATCTGTCTCTGGGATTGCCATGTGTAGGTGGTGGGAAGCATGGAAATATCAGCTTGGTTTGGATACTATTAAGCATGGTGATGGGTTTCTTCACGTGTCAAACATCCAACTGACCAAAAAAAATAGTTCTGATACCACCTCCTCATACCGTTATTTTTCACGCTGGATCAGCCTGAGCTCCAGACATACAGTGCAGTGTGACTGTGTTTGTGGGGTAATCACGACTGGCGCAGGTCAAGCAAACTCGTGGTTTATTGTCGAAACGAACTGGTTAATTCTTCTTAAAAGGTAACTATCTTGGAATAAATGCTGTAGAGGATTCCGTCCTTCTGATGCGGCGTTAAACTGAGGTCCCATCTGCTTGTTTGGACGGTTGTTGAAGATCCTATGGCACTATTTGAAACGTGAAGGCAGTTTCTCCTGGTGTCCTGGCCAACAATCTCCCAAAATAATAATGATCACTCGCTCCGTGGCTGTTTGTGGGACATTGCTATGCACAGCTGGCTGCCACGTTTCGACCACAAAACAGTTGCTCCACTTTACGGTATATCCTGTGAAGGGCTTTGAGAAGTATCAAAGTTGTGATAAGGTGCTATATCGAATGCAAGTATTATTAGTATTAAGGTTCAATTAGTTAAAGCGTTTACCCAGTAAGAAACTGGTACACACATTAGTAAAATGCTAGTTCCAATTCCTAGTCTAAATTAGCTGAAGTTTATTTGTTTCACTGTCTCTATGTTGGTGGGGGAGGGATCAGTGAGGTTTCTCATTCCTGATTAATGTTTTAGGATTATTTTTACTCTTGTCCCACATAGCTTGTGAAATTTCACATGTGTGATCCTTGGTTAAGCCTGTTTATGGCACTAACCGTGTGAAAATTGGTCACAAGACTGTCAGACACACTACCTGTAGAGCTGAATCCCAAGCATGAAGGATACAGCACCACCTGTCGCTTAGTGGTCAGAGTACTCACTCTAGGTTTGATTCCCAGCAGGGCGAAACATTGGCCAAGTTTCCTTACTACTTACGCCTCTGTTTGCCTAGCAGTAACTAGGAACCCGGTTGTTAATCGATTGGTGGATCGCTTTTCTGGGGGTTTATAATCCCTTAAAAAAATAATTGGCGCAGTTGGCTGCCATGTTTCACCCACAATTATAAATGTCATAGTCTGCAGCTGCAGGCCATCGGTCACCTCCCTTCTCCCTCCCTGACCCCAGCTCAGGTCTGAAATGCTGTACACTGTCCAGCGCCTTGGGACGTCCTCCCGACGTGAAAGACGCTATACAAATGTAATCTTGTTGTTGTTTGTGATGTGCCCAAAACAAAAAAACAAAAGCAATTAATTCAGTAATTATGAAAAACGGAGACATTAAACTCAAATGTTTTATGCAATCACTTGCAGACCACTGAATGTTTGCCCAATAATCCATGTTGGCCTGTGGATATCATAGCCCAGCCTTTTCTAAAATCTTATGAGTCACTTCCTGTCGGTTGTTGTTGAACATGGGAGCTGCAAGGCGAATTCTGTTGTCAGTCAGCCAGAATAGCTATTTCATATCCTTTCAGGTATATTCTATTAAGGCAGCATTGTCGAACCCATATGTTTACCGAGCCACTTGTGTGACGAGTGAACAACAGTGTGAGCCACACCAGTCAGAAAATGTTACGACAGAGATGAGCATATTATTATCCAATTATATAATAATAATCTTTGCATTTGATATAGAGCTTTTCACATCTTCTAGACATCTCAAAGCGCTTTACAGAATATACGGTAAAGTGAATTGACTGTATATTTGTGTGTGAAATGCAGCAGCCAATTACACACAGCAGTGTCCCATAAACAATCGTGCATTGAGTGACCAAATTATTATTGTTTTTTCTTAGGGATATTTATCCCTGGAAAACAGTCTGCCAATCGACTAACAACGGGGTTCCTACTTACTGCTAGGTAAACAGCATGTGGAGTAAGGAAACTTGCCCAACATTTCGCCCTGCGGGAATCAAACCCAGGTCTCTCGCTTGCGAGGCGAGTGCTCTAACCACTGAGCTACAGGACTCTGAATCTTTAATTAAAACATTACAATTCCAGTGTAAAACCTCTTCCAGCTGAAGACTGTACATCATCTCTAATGTTAACTTTGATTCACATTGCATGCATTGGGAGTTTTCAACTATTCCCTGTGAGCTCAATTCAAACATTCAGCGATTACACATTTCATTAATTTTCAGGGAGAAATGTTGGGCAAGTTTCTTTACTCCACATGCCTGTTTACCTAGCAGTAAGTAGGAACCCCGTTGTTAATCATTAATCTTTGTAAAGAAGCCATTGATGCTTGTACAGTTTCTTGTGCAAGTTGCTGGTATTTAACTGACACGTATTTACATGCATAAGTATGTAAATACATCATTTAAATATATGCAAAACAGTTTGTGGGAATTGCGTATAATATACAACAACAGCTTGGATTTGGATGTATATAGCACCCTCCATGCTGGACGGAGGATTTGCAATACAAATCCCAAGTCATGATATGTCACTCAAACGTTTTATCATTTGAGTATACATGATTCGACTTCCAAGATCCTCACTCTCATGTTCGAATCCATTCACCTCTTTATCTCCGACCTCCTCACTTCCCAATCCACCACCCCCAAAACACAGTCACACTGCACTGTATGTCTGGAGCTCAGGCTGATCCAGCGTGAAAAATAACGGTATGAGGAGGTGGTATCAGAACTATTTTTTTTGGTCAGTTGGATGTTTGACACGTGAAGAAACCCATCACCATGCTTAATAGTATCCAAACCAAGCTGATATTTCCATGCTTCCCACCACCTACACATGGCAATCCAGAGACAGATCGTTAGAATGTAATGTGCACTCTCCCTGGACGGATGCATCCTGCTTACCTAATTCCGGAAAGTATTAGGCACAGGTTGGCAAGAGCCAAGGCTTGGGGACCCCAGAGTGTGAGTTGGGGTACTGCTGAAGTCTAACCAGCTAAAACTGCATAGCTTGCCATTGATATTGCTGTTCGGTGAGCTTTCCCGCTGCTTGTCCAGTTAGGACCACCCTACCCTTTAGGGCTTTGGTTTGCAGGGTTAACAGTAGCTGAGTGGGATGACTCCCTGCCCCAGGTGACCGGACTGCCCTTTCAGGTCTTGCCACTGAGCCAATCAGCAGTGCCCTGGGATACTGTAGACCGGCCAGAGACTCACACAGACAGAGAGACACAGAGACAGAGAGAGAAATACAGAGACACAAAGAGAGAGAGAGAGATAGAGAGAGAGAGAGGTACCCACTCAGACTCACACACACACACAGATACAGCGATATACACAGAGACAGATACCTCGTCACTGGCTGTATTATGGTTTTAAAATGTGTAGAATTTTTACATTGCCTATTTAAAGTTTACATTGTAACTAAAATATAGTTAAATTAAATAATAGTTACACAATTTAAAACATAGGATTGCTATATAATTTGTACAGGTCGTTTCTGGAAGGGAACCACACAAATATTGCTTATGCGTCCGGCGGACATTTCTCAAATCTGGTGTCGGGCATCTAAAAGGTTGTACCGACCCGCTCTAAGTCAGCATTGTTACAGGCACCTGATAGGAGGAACTAAATATTAATGTTCCTGACTGTTCATGTAACCTTTAGTGGAATATTGTTTGGTTGTATTGAAAGGTTGTATTGAAAACACTATACTCCTGTGTAGCTCCCCAGGCCTACCTGCTGATTGAGCTCTATTATTTGGGCATCTGCATCACTGGCTCCGTTTCTGGCTACGTGCGGGGTTTTCCTCATACCCGTGGAGAGTGGTACATGTGGTGTTCGTGAGGGTGCGACCTTAGGTGTTGTTGGAGATGTTCTCTGAGGCACTTAAAACAGAATTGACAGTAAAAATATTAAACAATTTCATTTTTTTTGTTTGGTTTCTTACAGACTGATAATGCTGAAAAAAAGGACCAATTAACAGAAATGGGAGTAATGTAGGAGGAATGAGGCTGAATGCATAATATACTTCACAGAAAACCCATTTTCAGGAGACTACTTCAGGTTAAATCAGTTAAGAAAACCACTGAAATCAGTAAATGCATAATGGTATATACATGGTGTATAACCAAGATCTATAATCATTTTGGCTTCCTAATTAAATAGATGCTGTACAAAATTGTTATGAGAAAAATGAATGATTTTCATCATTAGTTAGTTGGGTCACAAGGTGAAATTGAAGTTCACTTAAATAGATTTTGTAAATCATATGTGCATAAATAACAACTGCAGCATGATCCATCTATGAGAAGAAATCTATTCCTGTTATTATTATCATCATCAAGTGAGCAAATTTTGACACAAAAGCTCAATAAATCCACTCCTTTGGTCACTTGTTTGAGGTGCATCCTATTTTTAACTAATCATGCATTAATCTGTGGTTCTAATGAAGCTGATTGTTTTTGTTAGGTTAAATGATTATGCGATAAAAATTTTCACTGGACAGCAAATGACTGGCATATTGAGCAACATCAACTACAGAAGTCACTGAAAGAACTTTCATAAGCATTTGCAACCATCTGTTAACAGGAAAAATAAATCAATATATCCTTTGTGAATAAACTTGGAAAATAAGAGAACCAATTGAGCCATCAGTTGAGAAAATAAGATGAGAACAAAATCCTCAACCTCCAACAGGTAAGAAGAGATTTACCTGCAGTGCCAATCGGTTTCTTCGATTTGCTGTATATTTGTTCACCTCCGAAGGTTTGTGGAATTATATCTTGTCCTTGTCTGGCCAAAACTGGGTCGTATTCCTTTCCATCATAGTTTGCATCAAAGAATTTCTTAAACCACTGAACAAATTCAAAGTTGTCTTGGAACTTTCCTTTCACTAATCTCTCTACTGGAATAATCTGAAATAAGAAAAAGGTGATTTTTTTCATGTAATGTGTTTTAATCCTCATTCTTCAAATGATCCCCTATATATCTCTTGTTGCAGATCAAAGCAATTGGTCCTACAACTTGTGTAATGCCTGCTTAGCACAATACATTGCAGCACCCCATCATTTAATTTGTCCTTCCTGTTGCTTGTAAAGCATCAAGTTTCATTTGTCTGTTCTGTTACTCCAGCAAAAGAATAAATCAAAGTTTACTATTGTAAACAAAATGTCTTACTCTCTTCCATTATTGTAAACTTTTATTACAAAAAGTTGGATAACTAGAGGTGAATTTCATTTAACAAAATAGTCAGAGAACTAGAAGAAAGCATATGTCAAATTCTAAACAATATGAGATATGAACCCAAGAATCATAGACCTGTTAGTCTAACCTTGCAGTGAGCAAAACAGTTCGCAGATCACTCAAAGAATTCCAAAGGATCTGAAAAATACTCTTCTTCACAACAAGATACATGAGCAGTTAGCATGGGTTTAAAAGCAATATGTCATGCCTCATAAATGTCTGAAATTTCTTCATAAGCCAACCGAATTAGTAGGTGAGAGACATCTGATGAACGTAAACTAGATTTTAAAAGACATTCCTTTTGAGGCTTTTAAAGAAGATTAATACTTTTAGAATTATTTATATTAGTTGCCTGGAATTAAAAACTGTATTGATGATAGAAAAAAACTGATTGAAAAGATTGACTGGCAGGCAGTAATGAATGCAGTTCCACACATTTTGCTATGCCAACAGTATGCACATTTAGCAACAGAAGATTTCATAATGATGGCACTTTGTGATTTCAGAGTCTTTTAAGAGAGGGCTAGGATTCAAAGTGCTGTGGCCCAATTACAGCCAAAAATGATTCCTTGAAACCCAACATCTACACATTTGTACTTCCAGCAAGAATCAAAAGGATATCAAGGGAAAGGAAACCTGGTTGCCCCCACTCTACAATGAGGGATGGTGAGTTGGACTATATTAGATAAACTCACTCAGCACAGGCCACAGATTCAACCGGGAACCTAGCTTGTTGGTAACCATTGCACAAAACTGTTGGATGCATCAGTTCATCTGATCAAAGCTTTTGTATATTTTCATACTAATGCCATTACCTAATGCAATACTAAAAGCATATCATTGGGAAAATGGCACTGTAAATGCGCTTCTCTCAGGAAAAATCACATGAGGAAGGAAAGTACATCTCTTCCAGAGAACACCATGTATGTCATTCCAACACACAAGAACAACACCAATCAGACATTGCTTGGAACAAATTTATTGCAGATTAGTGTGACATACATTGCATTCTCCAAAGGAGATACTGTTTGGGATATTTAATTACACTAACATAATGAGTTCAACCCAACTAATACTGTATTATTCAATAAGTTGAACTCAAGTAAACACCACATAATTATAATTTTAGTTATATTTATGATGATTCTGTTGACAACTGTACTAAATATAAATCCACCAGAAATAGTTCAAATAATTCATATTAAATTGTGACCATTCCTCAGTATTTCTAAGTTGAGTCAAAACAATAATAATTTGCATTGCGCATTTTACATTGAAATGTAAAATGTCTCAAATCGCTTTACAAAGACTGAATGGAAGCCCGAGCTGGGAAGGAAATGGGTGGGGGAGGGAAAGAGAAGGTGGCCCAAAATACAGTCAAAGGGATGAGTTTTTAGACTGGCTCCAAAAGCAGAGAGAGGGGGCAGGTACCCGGGGTGGGGTGAGGGAGAGAGGAAATAACTGAAAGCTGATGATGGTAAGAGGTGGGCGGGAGGCGGGGTGGCATCAAACATGCCAAACTTGATGAAACTAAGGGAGTGGCTGTGGAAGTAGGGTCACAGGAGATCTGAGGTAGGTGAGTAAGACGGTAAGGTGAGGATGAGGACAATAAGTCATTCCACTGGGGGATAGGAAGCCAGTGGAATCAGACGATGAGGGGGCTAATGGGTCTGCAGAGTCTAATATGGGTGAGGATGTAGGCTGCAGAGTTCTTGATGTTTTGGGGGCACCTTGGGATGGCTCACGACATGAAAGGATGATATAAATGCAATTTGATGGTTGTTTTGGAACTTATGTAGGGTGGAACTGGGGAGGCAGGTCATTGGAAAAGTCGAATCTGATTGGACAAAGGCTGCATGAGGGTTTCGGCTATGTTGAGGGTA